TTATCGCTTTTTTTTAAGTTAACTAAAATGAGGAATACATTATTCATACTTTTCTCTATCTTTTAATATCATATTTTCAATATTTGTTAATTCAACATAAAAATTGTAATATTTTTTAAAACAAATTTCATTATTTTAAGATTAATTAAAATTTTATTTAAGTAACTCGAATTTTTCTTAAAATTTTTATATTTTTTCTTCGAAAAAACTATTTTGATCTTCTAAAACTTTTTATTTTTCTATTAAATTTTTTGCTTTTTAAAATTCTAAAAATTTTATTTTGTAGATTTTTTTTTTTCCTGTAAGTTTAAAATCTTTTAAATTTTCAATTATATTCATCGTTAAAAAAAATGCGTCATCAATGCAAAAAAAAGCTTCTTCTTAATATTCAAGAAAGCAACTAACTAAATAATATGCAAAGCTCACATTCTTTTATTTGTCAAATAAACAAAGGTTTATTGGAACTTTTCTTTCTAATTTGTTTTATAATACTCCTTCAATACTTCTAATTTCTACAAGTAATTTTACTTTAAACAATTAGTATTCACATATTTATTTTTCCAATACTTCTTCGGTATTCAAATATTTTGTTTTATTTTACTCGTACAAAGAATTACACATATATTTTTTAAAACCATTTAAAATGTTTATTTATTTTTTTTCTTGCAAAAATTCAAAATCTATAAGGTTGTCTGATGCAATATTTTAAAATTAACTTTCTATTATTTATTTTGGGTCTTATACTATTAAAAATTACGACATATTTTAGGTAATTAGTTAATAATTGTGTATTTATAATATATATATTTTATTAATAAATTTTAGATATTATTTTTTTAAAAAATCTTTAATTATTTATTTATATTTATAAAAAAAAAAAATTGAAATTAAAATAACATTTAATTTTTTTTTATATTAAAATGCGAAAAAAATAATAAATTATATAGCATAAAACAAACTAAAATAATTACAATTATTTAGAAATAATTATATATTAAATATTGATAGATTTATTTAACTTATTATATAAATATTATTAAATATAAATTCAATTATATAATTATAAAATTATAAAGTCAAATATTTTAGTATTTTATAATATTATCCATTTTTTAAAATTATAGCAGATAATCTAATTTATAAATTTAAGACAAAAGAAGCAAATTGCAAAAATAATAAAAATATTAGATTGTTTAACTCATAATATATTCATTATTTAAAATTTTGTTTATATTCTAGACTATTAGTAAAATATTAATAATTAAAATATAAAAATAATAATTATTAATTTTTTAAAAAATTAATCAATTTATTTTATCAATTTTTTTTTTATGGTTATTTCAATTTTATAATCAATAAATATAAGAATGTTAATGAAACATTATACTTTTTAAAAGAATATTGTAAAATAGTTTATATATTTTAAATTATTTATTAAATAAAAAAATTAAATATATATATATATATATAATATATATATATATATATATATATATATATATATATATATTAATTAATATATTATTATTATTTTTTTATTTATTTATATTTTATTTTTTTATTTTAGTTTTTTTATATATATTTTAATTAAAAATCATTTATATAAACTATTATTTAGATTTAATGCTTTTTATAATATTTAATTTAATTTTATATTAAATTTAAGATTTTCATTTGGAATGCTACTATATTATATAATTTAGTAGTTTTGTTTGGATACATTTTAATAATAAAAATATTAATAAATTAATGATAATGTTAAATATTTTTATTGAAAAATATAAAAATTAATAATTTCTAAACAATTTGAATACAATGCATAAATTTAATAGCAAATTTATTACTATTTGGTTTTCTAAAAAATGGTAAATTTCTATTATGAAAATATGACTAAATATAATATTTTTGTTTTATTTTTAAATATTATTTTATTTCTGTGGTTTAGATTATAATTATAAAAACATAACTATATTTTACAAAAGTTTTTAAATTAATAAATTTTAGTTAAATAGCTAAAAATTTTGAATTTTCTTTGACTTTATTATATAATATTTTATCATTTTTTATTTGACTTTATAATTTAAAATGTTATATAATTAAATAATTTAAACATAAAAAAAATTCTTTATTTTATTTACAATGTCTCATTATACATGATATTATTTTAAAAATTATTGATTTAGTTGAAAAATAATAGTAATATAGTTTCAGTATTTATTAATTATAAAATGAAAAAATATAAAAAACTTTTCAGTTTTGGCTATAGCTGTTTAAAAAAGCTTTTTTTTTTTTTCGCGACCTATTGTTCATATTACTATCTCAGTCAGCCCGAAAATTTTAGAAAAAATTGAAGGGCATAGAAGAAAAAAAATCTCCTTTGAAGAATAGAAGTTATATATTATATTTTAAATATTTATTTTTGTTTAAAAAATCAATTAAAATACTAAATATTTTTAAAACTATTATTTTTATCAAAATGTTCTAAATTCGTTACCTAATCCCCTAACCAATAAATTTACTTATCCAAAATTAACTTAAAAACCTATTCATTAGCATATGCATCTCCTATAAATCCTCTAACTTACCTAAATCCTTTTGCATCTATAAACTAAGCGCAAAAATCATCAACCCATCCTGGCAAAAAGTTAATAAGCTTAACCCCTAAGCCTTTAATATCATTAATTAAATCCGATAAAATAGCAAGAAATTTCCCGAAATTAGTTTCTTATATTGAAAAAAAAAATAAAGCCCAATAAGAATAAAAACAAATATGATTTTTTAAAACTTACTTAAATGCGTTTTCGCTAAAAATATTTTTTTTTAAACGAAAAGCCAAATTCGCTCTAAAAATCCATGTTTATGTGTCATAAATAAAGCTTTAAAGCTAATTTTCTACTTAAATAATTTCGTTTTTTATTTATATTTTTTAAGTTATTTACTAAGGGCTTTATTTTTTTAAATCAGATAGCAGGGTTTGAAGATTTTCTTTCTTTTTTTCTTCATTTTCCCAATCTAAAAAAGCATTTAAGTCTACATATAAAGCTAAAAAAATAATATCTAACTTCTTATTGCAAAGTTTTTTTTAATAAATAGGTTTTTTCCTTTCACTTTCAATTGTATCTTCTGTCATTTCGGTTATATGTTCGACTTTATTTGACTATTGTTGTTGTTTTTATTATAAAATATAAAGCTTTCTTTGAAGATTTTTTTATATTTGAGGATCTTGTATATTTGCCATTCCGAAATTTTTACCTTTTTCACTTTCTTCCTATTTCAAGAATGCTGGAAGTTCCTCATTTTAATCTGAAAAATCTGAATAATCATAAGGCGCGGGTAAATTTTCTTCTTCTTTTTATTCTTTTTCTTTTATTTTGAAGGGAAAATCTTCTTTAAAATGATAATTTTAGGAAATATTTTCTTAATCAAGGATAAATACATTGCCTCTTAATTTTATAATAATTTCCCATCCTATTTTTTATTACAAAAACAACAAAATATTATAAATTTAGAGTTATTCTTAATTTAATATATATGTATTTTTAGGAATTTTATTATTATTTTTTTGCTGAAAAGGCTCTTTGTTTTTTTAATTTTCGAATTTTTCAGAAAAAATATTAAAATTAGGCAAAATATCAGATGAAAATGCATTTTTTGGCTTTGTTTTTTCAAATAAAAATTCATTTTCATTAAACAAAAAATCATTTTTTTGCTCATTTTCTGAAATTAAGTCTGCTGCATGGTTTAAGCATACTAAAACATATTCAAAGTCTTATTTTTCAATTAAAATTTTTGCCAAAAGTATCCATAATTCAAAACTATTTACAAAAATTTTGATTAAATAATTTGAAAGTGTTAAAGCTTCTTTAAATTTTTAAATTCTTATAAGATTTTGGGCTTAAACATATAATAAAAGTGCAGAATCTGTTTACTTGATTAAAAAACTAGCGATAAGCTTTAAACTTTCTTATTTTTTTCCTAAAGCCTAGTAAACATCATTTAGAAAAAGTACAATTTTGGAATTATCTTATATATATTCTTCATAAATATCCTTTAAAAAAATATACCTTTTTTTTCTCATTAAATATTCGTGTAATAAATAAATACTTTTTGATCCTTTCCATTAAAAATATTTATTTTTTTCATCCATTTCAAGCTCGTTTTATTTAATAACGTTAAAAAAGCACTTTAAAAATTCCAAAAAAGCTTCCTTTTTCGCAAATTCTTCAATATATTTTCCCGCTGGAACTTTCTTTGGATAAAAAGATCTTAAACCACTACTTACCATTGCCCTTTCCCATATTTTATCATCAATAGTTATCATATTATTTAATTTTTTAAATCCATATAATTTCATTGTGCCTGGAATAGTAATTTCGATATGGATATCGATTTTTTAAAATGCATCAAAAATACAAAAATATGCTTTTTCTATTTCCCATTTTTCATTTTTTTGGAAAATATTCCCTTTTTCTTCCTCCATATTTTATATTAATTATGTTATATATGCTGATATTGAGGCTGGAGTAGATAAACTTAAACCATATACATAATGATAAGTTGATATTCGGGTATTTATTTTTCCTAATGATAATAAAGAGCCTTGGTTATGCTTTTTTATTAAGTAGCATAGATCTGGAGGACCTAAATTTGTATAATTTTGTATCTATTTTATTCTATTTCGAAGAATTTATTGCTAGTATTAGGATGGATCAATTATTTCTATAAGATTTTTTATTGTATGACCTAGAGGAATAATGGATGTTTACTTCATTTTTTTAATTAATTTTAACTAATTTTTTTATTTGGATTTATTGATTTTTTAAAAATTATTTGAAAATTAAAAATTATTTATTAACTTTATTATTTTTTTAATTAGTTATTTATAATAATATTTCAAAATTAAAGAAAGAAATTAAAATAATAAATATAATTTAAATATTAAATTAATCAAATAATATTACCTAAACTTATTAAAAAATATGAATATATATTTTATAATTATATTTAAGATTTTTAAATAAAATTTTGATGTATATTACTGAATAAAAAGACATTATTAAAATTTAATATTGTTAAAACAAAATCCAAAACAATAAAAATATAAAAAAAAAATCATCTAATATAAAATCCTTTTTATCCTTCAGTTAATGCAATTTAGAATTTTTCTTTCATAATCTCTTTACTTTCATATTCTGGTAATTCTGAATTAAAAAAAAAAAAATAGTAAAAAAATTAAAAAAATAAAAAATAAAACCGATTTCTTTAAAGCAAGTATGAGAAATAGGTAAAGATTATTTATCAAGTTTTTTATTAGAAATAGTAATTTAGAAGTTTTAAAATCCACCAAAAGGTACTTTAAAGGAACTAGTAGCAAAAAATAAAAATCCTGCCCTTTGTTCTTAATTGTATTCTTCTAAAATTTCGAACATCCATTATATTTAAGGAGATTTCGAAGTATATTTTCCTTCACAAATAACATTTTTTTTCATATCTTCAACTAAAATAAAAATAAAATAAAAATTAATATAACATAATGAATATATTTTACTATCAATAATATGCACCCCGGACAATTTAATACCTAATTCTCTAACTGAAAGAATTTTTAAATGATCGAAAGGAATGACTTCATAAAAACCTTTTTTAAAAGCCTCGACTTACTTTTCGATTTATTTAACCATTCTAAAATAAGCTAATTCTTTTACATATTATTTTTTGTTTTCTTCAGTAACTTCAATGTTACTTCCATTAGGAATTAACTCAACAACTTTTGTTTTTCCAAATTAATTAAAAGTAAATGTGAAATCTAAGCATAGACTTTCAACATTATTTTAAAGAATATCTTATAATCCTCTGGCCATATCTGGATCAATATCTTCCAAATCATTTATATAGAGATTTTATTATAGCAATTATTTCATAAAGGATTTTGTCAAATCAACCTCACATGTATATCCATCTAAAATAGATTTTGCTAATAATCTTCCAGCAAGTTAAAAGTGTAATAAATAATCAGGAATTATACATGAATTTATAGAAGGTTACATTGTTATTCCATTTGAAGAAACTGAAAAAAATCCTTTTTATGGATCTAATAAATCCTTAAATACTTAGCTATAAAATTCTCTTGAAGGGCCTCCAGCATCTACTCCTGGTTCATCTTTAAATTTGATTTCGAATTTTCTTTGTACTAAATTTACTGGAATTAATTCAATTAACTTTTTATATGTATTAAGCCACATTTAATCTCTTTCTAAATCAATATTCATTTCAACCCAATCTGTTGAATATTTTTTTTACCAAACTTAACTTAAATATCTATATATAAAGTTAAAAAAAATAATGATAAAAAAAAACAAAAAATACTTAATAATACTAAATTTCTAATTCATTGTTAATTTCTTATAATCTAAACTTTATACAAACTTACAAAATTATTTATTATGATCCATTGTTTTAATGGCTAAATTCAAGAACTTACTTTTGATAATTTCATATAAATCCTATATAACAAACTAGTTATTTTTAAAAGAAATATTTGAATATTGTTTGGAGAGTAAATTAGAATTTAATTCTTCTTCTTCTTCCATAGGCGCATAAGTTAAAATTCTTTTTAAAAAAGGAGATTTAGGTTCGTTTTGTTCTGAAAATTCATTATTTTACAAACAAAAAGTTTAATAAATAATCAAAAAAGATCTTAAACAATAAAAAAAATCAGTAAATGTATATTCTGATTCATTATTATTATCTTCTATTTTATCCAAAAGCAAACATAAATTAATTAATTCAAAGGTTTTTAAATAAAAATTTTACAAATGTATACAATCGTCAACCCAAATATGTTTAATTTCATCTAAAAACATCTTTTTCTAGATTAAAATTTTATTTTCAAACCATTATTAATCTTTCTCTTCTTTTTTAAATTCCGGAAACAAGGATTTCATATTTACAACTAAAATATTATCAATTTTTTTCAATAAAAACTTTAAGTTTCTATAAAAAGAATTCTAATAGCTATTCCAAAATTCATATAATTTTTTTATTATGCTAATATATTCGTCTTTTAATTATTATGTTATTATTTCACCATTTGAGTTTTTTATTGGTTAATAAAAGTTTTATACTTTATATTTCTCAAATAATTCATTTTTAAATGCTTATACTTTGTTTAATAATATTTCTATAACTTCTTACATATTTATTCCATATAATGCTAATATTTATTCACTTACAAAATTATATATATTTGTTTCTAATATATCTTTTTCTAAAAATTCTAATGCTTCATCGAAATCTTTAAATAACCTATTGTTTAGAATTATATATTTGATTATATATTCAAGGATATTAAAATTTTAGATTTTTTTATTTATTTTATATATTTTATTTTAGCCAATCAGTGAAATCTAATTATTATTCAAAAGAATTTGATTTTTAATATTTTTATTATCAACATTAACCTTAATTTATAAAACTTAATTTCTATATTGATTGTAAACACTAAGAATCTTAATAAAAATACTATCGTATTTTGTATCGTAAAATCTAATATAATTTTAATCAACATTATCTATTGAAAAACTCTCATCATAAGGTTAAGCTAAAGATGATTTTAGTTTAATGCAATTAAATATACTAAATATAATTTCTTCAAAATTTTTATATTAAGATTCTATATTTTCCTTCACTATATCAAATCCTATTTAAAAAGAAATTTATTCGTATTTTTTTTCTTTTATTTCAAATAAACTTTCACTTATATTTTCATATAATATGTCTTATTTCGTTAAAACTATTTCTTCTTAAGCATTTTCAAATATTTAAATGTTTTCGAAATATTTTTCATTTATAAACTCGTCAAAATTTAGTACTAATAAACCTATTTTTTTTTCTAAAAGTATAAACTTTATCATATTGGTTGCATTTTCTACAATTTCTTATATTTTATCTACCATTTTTATTGAATTCTTATAAATATATATTTTTTATAAAAGAAATATATATAAAAAAAAATTAAAATATATATTTACATCTTCAAAATTAATTTATTTTTATTTTAAATAATCATCAACCCATTAAATATTTAATTTTTTTCTCAAAAAAAATTTTTTGGTAAAAAACAAATATAAACCAAGAATTTTAAAATAGTTGAATGGGTTTAAAAAAGCATAATTAAATATTTTTTGATAATAATTAATATCTTATCCCTCAAATAAACTTAAAATAACTAACTTAAATCCAGTCTTTTGATTTATAATGGGAATTTGAAGGCATTTTTCAAATTAATTTTTAAATTATTTTTCTTTCTCATCTTCTAATTTTCCCTTAAATAAATCCTGTACTTAATTTAGAATATTAAAAATTCTACCTTCTTTACTTTTCTATTCTGGATTTTCAAGACATTATAAATATTTTTTAGATTCTTCTTATATTGTTTAATCAAATAATTATAAATAATCTTAATCCTATGAAACAAGTATAACTTTTTTATCGTTTTCATCTAAGGATTAAATAATATTAGTGAATTATTCAGACTAAAGATAATTTTTTAACTCTTTTTGATTTTCATTAAACTCTAATTCTTATTCAAAAACTTTAGAAATTTATAATTTTTCACGTTTTTAAAAAATTTAAATTTTCTAATCTTTATATTTATTTCTTTCTTATTTTTTTTAGTTTAAATAATTTATTTTTTCATCATAATTTAAACTTAAAAATTCTTCAATATTAATCTGATATTATTCAATTATATTTTCATCATATTCATTTTATTCCAAAAAAAATTTTAATTTATTTAATTATTGATCTTTCTTGTATTTTTCATCATCAAAATTTTCAAAATGTATTGTTTAATACATTTAATTTTCTTCTTTTTATTCTTCTAATTATTATTATATTTAATGTATTTTTATTTATGTTTCTTTAAGCTCTAGTTATTTTATTAATTGATTATTACATTCAATTTAAATGTTGGTTTTATCATAATATTAATCTAAAAATTTTATTTATTTATCATAGTTTTTTCTTATTTTTTAATCATACTAATTTTTTATTATCATTTAATATATTTCTTCATTTACATTATTTTATTCTTTAATTTTATTATTGTTTTCTTCTTTAATTTCAATATATTCTTATTGTTATTCTTATAAAAGTTCATCTTCGAATTCCCATTTTAATAATTATTATTCTTCTTACTGTTATATATCATTATAAATTTATTCTAAATTATAAATTCCTTATGATTAATATTCATTTATTTTATCACATTTAAAGAAACTAAATAAATTGTCATCAACGAAATTTTAAATTTCTTAAAAATCGGATTCGTTTCCAAATATACTTTTTACTATAAATTTATATGCCTAGTAATATCCTTTTACAATATTTAATTCGAGCATACTTTAAAAATTTTCTTAAGTTTAAACTTTTTCTAAAGCTTTTTCAAACACACTTAAAATTATTATCCCATCTTTTTTACTTTTTTATTAAATCTATTTTTATTTATTAAAATTAAAAAATTAAAATTTATTTTTATATCTTACGCATTTAATAGTTTTTTTAAAGAACTTAAACATTCCATTAAAAAGTTGTTTATTTCTTTCATTTTAATAAAAACTCTCTTATTCAATAAAAACTTTCATTTTATAAATTATTTTATAAAGAGTATTTTTTAAAAACTTTTCTTTTAATTATTCGTCATTACTTTTTACAGAAGTGAAAATAATAAACCCTAATATATCTAAAGATTAATTTTCACACCACATATTACAATAAATAAAGTAATCAAAAAGCTTTATATCATGCATAAATTCGAAAGGATGTAATTATTATAATTGTTCTACACACTCTTATTATAATGAAAATTAATTAAAGACAGGAACAATAAATTCATTGTAATTATTAATTAATCCAATTATAAATAATTCTATATTTACTGAAGGTATAAAATATTAAAAATCTTCTTTTTTATTGGTTTCTTATTCGTTTTTTATTTTACTTTTTATAAACTAGCTACTTCTTTAGGTATAAATGTTTATTAATTTTTGGATAAAAGAGAATTATTATTCACTTATTTTTACATATTTATGTCTATTAGTATATATTTTTTTTATTTCTTCAATATTTTTAAAAAAGAATTTTTTATCTTTTTTATCCTCTTCATCAACTTTGTTTAGGTTTTTATCTTATTCACTTTTTACTTTTTTTTTTTTACTATTTTTTACTTCAATTTTTATATATTTTATATCATCATTTTTTATTATATCTTGGCTATTTTCTTCTTCGGATCCTTTTTCGCTTTTTTCTTCTTCACTTTAATCTAATTCATTTTTTTCACTAAAACTATTACTTTTAATTTCTTCTTCTTCTTAATTTTAATTTACATTCTATTAAATATCTAGTTGATAAGTACAACTATCCTTTTTTTATTAATTTTCAACTTTCTCTTCACTTTTAACATCTAAAATTTCACTTAAAATTTATTTTAAATCATTTAAATTTCCATAAAACATTTTATTATATGTTTTTATAATACTGTTTTCTAAATCAGTAGAAGAAATATAAAAACTATTGAATAAATCCTCATCCTTATCGGATTTTTATTAATAAAATTCAACTAAATCTTATACTACTTTTTTCTTTAAAAAAGCATAAAAATGTTCAGGGCCAAAATATACAAAAAGTATATTTAAAAAGTAAAAAATTATTTAAGAATCTTTATTTTCCATTTAAGAATCTTTATCAACTAGAGGTTTAGTTTATAATGAAAGCAAAAAATAAAAGAAATCATTTATTTTTTTCCATTATTTATTCTAAACAATAATAAAAATATTTTTTAAAATGTTCAAACAATTAGAAATTATATGATTAATTTTTTTTTATAATAAATCTTTTGATTTATATTCACAATTTTCACTTCCAAATTTCTTCTAATAAAATATTTCTTCTAATATTTCTATATTAATATCGTAAAAATCTTAAATCTATAGTTAAGTCAATTTAAAATTTTCCAAAATAAAGTTATGTTATCCTAATAAATCATCTAATAGATATAAATGTTAAAAAGAAAAAGTTTTTTCTTTTATTTACTATAAAATAATTTTTATTTAATTATAATAATCTTCCAAAGAATTATGAAAAAATAAAGAAAATTTAAGATCTTCATTTACTTTTTTAAGGTAAATCAAAAGAAAGTTATTTAAAAAATTAATATAATAGCAAACGTTATTTTAATTTATTTATTCTTTAGTTTTCTAAAAACAAATATCAATAAATGAATGAAAAGTAAAGCATTATAATTATTTTATTGTGTTATTTTAATTTTCCTCTATTACCTTTTTGCTTTCTACAATAATGTTGATGTTATATTTATTCGTTTTACTTTCATTTTTATATTTATATATTATGTCGTATAATAAATTCATTATTTTTTTAATTATTTCTATATTAAATTATTTTATGTATTCGTCTTTTTCGCTTATCTTTTTCCATTCTTCGATTTCTTATTTAATTTTTTCTATTGAATCTTCTTTCATTTTTTATATATATTCTTCTTTTTTGCCTAAATTTTATTCTTTATTTTTAGAATTATTTTCATTTGTTATATTATTCTCATTAAAATTTTTTTCATTAATTATATTTTATTTTTCATCTTAAAAGTTATTCTCACTTTTTTATTTAATATCTTCTTATAAATCTTAACCCTTAATAACATTTTCTGTTTAACTCTATTTATTTTATTTTAAATTTTCAAGTTCTAAATTTAAAATGGTTTATTCTTTTCTTTCAAACTAATAAGTAAGAAATTCATATTCTTAATATAAAAAATGATTAATCAATTTTTTGATTTTTAAAGAGATGAAAATTCCTTTTTAATTAATACCATAATTCAATAATGAATTAAAAACACTTCCAATTAAATTTTGAAAAGAAATATATTATTATATGCAATTATTCCCTTCATATGTAATTTCAATTAAATATTTACTAATTTCTTTAATTTCTTTAAAAATTAAATTTTACTTGTCTTTTTTTTTATCAAAATATTTTTGTTAACTTAAATCATTCAAAACAAACAAATTAATCAGCAAATCTTTTAATTTTTCCAAGTTTTATTATTAAGCTTCATCTTAAAAATTAATCAGAAAATATAAATCC